CGGTCACGGTCTCATCTCTCTAAACATGCAGCTTCTGCCCTCTGCTTAAATCCGATCTTCATTTCTCAGCCGGTCTTCGCAGAACGTTTTCTGAAGCTAATATCCAGCACGATAATCCGCGATGCTCCTCTCTTGTGGCAGCTCCCTTCATACACATCATTCCTCTCCTCCTTTGTCATTCAGGGAATTTTCATTCACAGTGGCGGCTCGCAAAACGTATTTATTGCCAACCTTCATTTAACCTTCACGTAAACTCAATTCGCCGAGTGCGCTTTCAAATCAGACGCTGGATTTTGATCTCTGGCCCGGCGTCCTCTCCTCGGCCGACATAAATGTCGCCATAAATCAAACGTACAATTAAATTTCAGCCTCTTCTGCCAAAAGCTCCTCACATTCCCTGCCTCCTCCGATATGAAACTGCTTTAAAAGGCTGGTGATTTATGCCGTCTGTACTTGTGTGCGCACGTGTGGACGGTCTTTGTCCTTTAGGAACGCCTGTTAGCTTTCGCCAGCTGTGTGTGTGTAAGTCAGGATTATTAAATGTGTAAAACACCTTCAACTCACTGGCTTCACATAAAATGTTTTATGGAGAGAAAAGAACATAAATCCACAGTCACTCAGCAAACAGGTCTGATCTCATGTTTACAGGAGTGTCTTTGTAGATGGAACTGAACCAAATACGGTAGAGTGAGCTGTTATAATACATCCAACCCTAAGTCAGACTTCCAGTCCTGATTAAACTATGTTTTTGGTGCCTGCTGGCTGTCCATGGCCGTCCCTGCATATATAATAAAGTCACATTTTATTCCAGAGCCAGTTTCAACAGACAATTTGTCTGTTGAGTGCTTTATAAAGGGCAGAAGCCATAAATTCAGACTCGTACATACGGCAGGTTCAAACTCATTCCCTCTGAGCCACAGCAGAAGTTACTCTGCTGCCATATTCTGCCTAAAGCGCTGTGTGTGTGTCAGGAAAATAATACGCTACAGGGGACACACGCGGGCTTTCAGAGTCACAGAGAAATGTCATGTTGATGGCACTGTGCTGCCTTAATATGACAGGTAGTTTCCACTGACCCTGCAAGCAGCAGGAGGAGAATGAACTGCTGAACCTGTTCATGATTTCAGAAACATTTTGCTTCTGAATCTGAAATCTTACAAATTCAGTTTTATTTATATAGCACCAGATCACTACAGCAGTCGCCTCAAGGTGCGTTACATTGTAAGGTAAAGACTCTATAATAACACAGAGAAACCCCAACAATCAGATGAGCCCCTATGAGCGAGCACTTTGATGACAGTGGGAAGGAAGAACTCCCTTTTGACAGGAAGAAACTTCCAGAACCAGGTTCAAGAAGCCGTGACTGGTTGGGAAGCAAATGAAGGATAACTTAGAAGAAGTTCAGGATGGCGCAAAAGTCTTGAGCCACTCCCCATTTCTTTATATTTTGCTTCTGAATAGCCTTTCATGTGGTACGGAGCAAAAGTTCTCCAGGATTTCTGAAGGTCTGTAAAAGCTTTTGTTTGGCTGCTTTTTCCACATATTTTCAGTCCAGTCTCTCTGGACTAACCAGTGTTGTGTCTACACATTACAGATAACAATTGTATCTTTAGGCACTTTGTTGCTATCAGCATGTTGCAAGAACACATCATTTGTTTCCTTTTCTTTAGATAAATCATCGAAAAATACCAAGGATATCACAGTTTAACTGCTACAAAGTAGTATTTTTGTACCAACAAGGTACGGTGAGACTCGAGAACCAGGTTAACGGGTTAGCCGATTTCTTTAAATCACTGAGTGGAGTGATAAACTCACTGCAGTCGTAGTTATGGGCTACGTCTCGTTTGAGCGGGCTCTGAACCTTTAATTCCTCGAGTGTTACTAAACATTGTTCAACAGTGGCTGCGTGTTTTTGCATATTTAGAATTCTTCATTTGTTTTCATTTTGCTTTTATTTTGAAGTTTTCTTCTCACTTCAGTTTCCTTTCATTTAGTTGCCATAGTAGATTTGTAGATTTGCGCAACTCGGTTTTATTTTGACTGTTAGTGCTGAAAATGTGTAATTTCAGTTATGTTTTTTTGTTTTTAACTATTCTATACA